CCATTTACACAAGCTCACTAAGTAGGTTATGCGTTTTCCTCTATCCATTTTACCTTCAATCTGTCTTGTGAGTATCAGATTTCCAAACCCGCTTTCCTCATTAGGCGCCCTATAAATCTCACCTGTCTCTTTATGAGGTTAAGTTTCCTTTTTGTTTCTGATTCCTCTAAAACTTTGTCTTTGCTCACATGCTCGGTGTATTGTATCCTCACTATCCTTCTGTAGAATCATATTTCTGTTGTTTCAAGTCTCTTCTTCATCTTTGCAGAGATTGTTCATTCACTGACATATAGGAGGTCTGAGGTCAGTTCAGTACTCTTTTCTTTGTTTATAACGAAATTTTCCTGTCGCTTAATACTCTGCTTAGCTTATGGGAGGCATCTTTCGCTATCCCAATGCGCCTTCAGATTTCAGTGTCGCACTTTCCGTCCTCTGTTAAAACATTTGCAAGATATTTAAATGTTTGCGCTTGTTTGATTTTGGTACTTCCAATTTATAATTTATATTTTGGACTCATCCTTTTGCCAACATCTATGTTTTGGCTTCTTGCAGTTGATTTTTAATCCTCTCTTCTCCTTTTCCTTCACTATCTTCTTTAGGAACCTTTGTAATTTTTTTTCCCTATCTGCTATCAACACTGTGTTATCTGCGTATCTTATGTTGTGAAGATGGTGGCTGCCAATAATAAATCCTGGCAGGCTTTTTAATTCTCTCAGAATCTCGCGTCACAGTATAGGTTGAATAAGTCCGGTAAGAAGACGCATCCTTGTCTTACACTCCTTTCAATTTTAGTATATATGCTGAACTCTTTTTATATCCGTATGCAAGCGGTTGGCTGCTAGTGCTGGTTCTTGATTATTCTAATATCCTTCCCAAAAATGTTAAGGTAACTAATCAGTTCCAATATGCCATTGTGAAGTGCTTTATCGAACACTTTTGCATATAACACAGGTTTTAATTTGACGTAAAACAATGTTTAATAGATTTTTCCGCTCCAGTCCCTCTTTTTTGATATCTGTATTGGCTTACGCCCACTACATTATAATTGCTTACACGAATAATGCATTTTGATATAAAATTATGAAACCAAACGGTTACTTGGTAATATTAATGGTAATATGAATGGTAATATTAATGGTAATTTTAACCGTTTCCTTATATGGAAATATTCTACATTCATTAACTGAACAACCAGTGTTAATGTCGGTTGAAATGCATAAAATATTTTTATTTTAGAAAAATCAGGAAAATAGGTTCGCAAGTAAACTAAATGTTATCACTCTTCAGAGTATTAATAGGAGTTTCCTTCCTAACCTTTTGTTTGAAGTCGTGTTGAAAAGCAACACGTTGATTATATTATCATTTTCTCTTCAAGTGAAATGTGCTATCAATTTTAGTTGTTGCTACTGCTTAAAGTCCTCAAATGATACGGTTTCTTTTATTTAGTACAGTTATTGTTTTGTGATTAACGGGATTTGATGAACGGTGGTGTCTTAAGGACCTCTTGGTTTCTCGAGGCGATTTTTTTATTATTGATCTGATAAAGCGGTTGTAGACAGCAGACTGTTTAGTTATTCATATTCATACCATACAGATTTTGCGGACTTGGGAGGTTGTCGGCAAAAGTAGGCCCTTCTTTGTTCAAGAACTCTATTATGACTTCTTTGTTTCTGCTTCATATCTTCAGTTATGCAAAATCCTAAAAATAACTGAAAGAAAATATAAACGTAGTAAACATTTCTCCATTTAGCAGTTCCGTAATAAGAGGATTTTAACTACCTGTTATTTTTTTAATTATTTAGTTTACAATGATCTTCACCATATACGTCATTCAATAAATAAGGTGAAGTTTTCGGTATAAGGACGTCTAATACAGATAGAAGCTTACTTATTTTTTCAACGTAGTCTCCCAGCACTGTCACACACTTTTCCCATTTGTGCACAAGCTTCCGTATTCCCTCAGCGTAAAAATCTTTGGACTGATGTCTCAGCCAGTCGCTCACAGTACTTTTGACTTCATCGTCACTTTCAAACTTCGTGCCTCTCGTGAACGCTTTCAAGGGACCAAACAGGTGAAAGTCTGAAGGGGCAAGGTCTGGGCTGTAAGGGGGGATGAGGGAGCAGTTCCCAGCCCAGCTCATCTCGTTGATGGTCTGCACTGTTTGGGCTGCTGTGTGAGGCCTTGTGTTGTCATGATGCAAGATGACTCCTTCTGACTGATGACCCCTGCGTTTGTTTTTTGTCTTTCTTGACCTGCCTCAGCAGTTCACAGTAGTTCTTCTGTCAGACTGAATGAGGTCATTGACTGATTTGATCACTTCTGTAGGCCTCACAGGCCCGTCTTCATCCTCAACACGGCTCCGTCCTTCTTTCAACAATTTAGCCCACTTGTAGACATTTTTTGGGCTGAAACATGTGGCACCATACACAGTTGACATTCTCCTATGAATTCCAACTGGTTTGCACCCTTCATCAACCAAAAACTTGATAACTGACCGCTGTTCAATCCTGGAGCATGCTTCTTGGTCGGCCATTTTTGTTAATCACCAAAACTCTCATTTTTTTTTAATCTGTAGAAATTAAATCCATGTGAAAAAGAAGTAAAAAGAAAAGAAAAAAAAGTAAGCTTCTATCTGTATTAAAAGTCCTTATACCGAAAAATTCACCTTATTTATTGAATGACCCTCGTAGAATGGACAAAGAGCAACTCGAGGTATAGGTGAACAGCGTAAGAAGCTCAGTTGATGGGGATAAGTTGGGAAGATAACGATTAATACTAGACTTCTACGGGTTAAGATTGTTGTGATTTTGGAAGCATCCTCTTAGGAGTTGGTGCCACAAATCGTCGTAATACAATATTTAATAACTTCTTCTTTAGCTGATATATTATAATTACTTATATTTAATATAAAGTTACACGATAACGTATTTTAATATAAAATTCGCAATAAATACAAATAAATACATATTATATAATATACTATCAAGAATAAAATATAAACACTGGTAACGGTTGGAAAATAATATGAATGAATTCAAGCAAAGATTTCCAAACGAAAGCTTTCTACGACCAGACCATCGCTATGCGATCAGGTGAGCGGACCACAGCTTTGGATCATTTTGATAGCAGCAATCTGATGATCACACCAGTAGCCTTAGACTGGCGTTTTACTTGTGAATAAATACGGCTCGTTAAAGTCAGGCTTCTGGGAGAGGACTGCCTCATTTTAATGCATAGGCGGTGATAGGTAAAAGACAACGAATAAGGAAAAGATCATTCGGACGATTTCATTTCATATTTTAATCCTACTCATTGTTGGTAATTACTGTCCAGATATGTTTTTGGTTATTCCTCAAAAGCCCTTTTTTCTTTGTAAACAGCCTTGAAATGTTAAGTCGATATTTCAAGCTTCGCCATAAATTTTCGACTTGATTCAGATATTCAGCGGATTGAATATGTAAATGGTTCAGAGTTAATGTAACTGAGTTAATGTCACGTCTTCTTAATATTAAACTCAATTAGTACAACGAAGACATTGAAACATCAGAACACAACCGAGTTTATTGAGATACGCTAGGTGAGATTTCTAAACAAAAAACATACTGTATTTTTTTTTAATGTCATGTCTCTTCACAACTTCCTTTTTACTTATTAATTGTGGATTGCCATACCATTTTGGTAATGATATTTTGGTGATTTGCTATTGCCTTCTCCATAATTTGATATTTAAATGTTTTGCTTCTCTTAGACTGGTTACTAAGCAAGGCTAAAGAGTCCAGTTTACCCTACTATTTATGCCATAGTTGAGAGACGAGATGGATGCCTCTTCCAACGGCATTTCTGAAAAAGAAAACGGAACAGACGAGGCTGAACATTTGAAGCCGTCCATCCGATTCTACTTTCTACGCCGATAATAGTTACGCTACCCACATATCCTCCCCTATTAATTGGTATCCACATTTAATTTAAAAGGACAATGAAATGCTGGTTGGATATTAGATTATTATTTTAGCAGAAAATGTCTATTTCCAAGTGCTTTGTAGAATCTTATAGTGTCAGACTCCCTTGAAAATTACAGGCAATCAATTCGTGTCCACATTTGCATAAGGGCACAGAGTTGAGTCAACATTCTTCCGGTGTAGAAGTAAGTTAATCATTCCTTCAACAAAAACAGGTGGGGAGATCATGCTGATAGTTTTTGCCCTTCTATAAATCCAGATCATTTCTACGCTTGGCATCACATACGTTATCCCACGTTTGACATCATTAATGCCGATATGTTAAAACATCTACCATCAATTACTGATTAATCGCAAAGAAAGAAAGAAAGAAAGAAAGAATAGCATACGAAGGTTAAAGGAACTTGAATTCATATACCAACAGATATAAAACATGGAGGGAGGGAAAGAGATAGATAGATAGATAGATAGATAGATAGATAGATAGATAGATAGATAGATAGATAGATAAGCATAGACTGAGATAGATAGATAGATAGATAATGAAGATACTGAGATAGATAGATAGATAGATAGATAAGCATAGACTGAGATAGATAGATAAGCATAGACTGAGATAGATAGATAGATAGATAGATAATGAAGAGACTGAAATAGATAGATAGATAGATAGATAGATAGATAGATAGATAGATAGATAGATAGATAAGCATAGACTGAGATAGATAGATACATAGATAAATAGGCACAGACTGTGATAAAGAGATAGATACAAACATACATACATACATACATACAGACAGACATAGTTAAATAGAGAGATAGGCCTTATCTGAGATAGATAAAAAATTGGCATACGATGGCAAAGGGACTTCAATATGGTGGGTCTGATCGATTCATAGACCAGCAGTTATAAAACATTGATGGAGGAAGAAAGAAAGAAAGAAAGAAAGAAAGAAAGAAAGAAAGTGGCGTACGAATGCATAGGGACTTGAATATGGTGGGACTGATCGACTAATAAACTAACAGTTATAAAACATTCAGATAGATAGATAGATAGATAGATAGATAGATAGATAGATAGATATTTTATAAGCATTCATCCCAGGCAAGCCGGAGGTGCCACGCATACGCAAGGGGTTATAGAGAGTGAAACTAAGAGAAAAGACTGGGTACAGGAAAGATTGAGGTAAGGATAAAAAGAAGAATGTGAATCAAGGGATCAGAAGATGTTGATTTAAATTTTTTTGAAGATTATAGTTGTTAGGAAAGCAATTAAAAGGAAGGGAGTTTCGTCATCGTTAAGTGCGAGAGAAGAAGCTGTTGGAGTAGAAGAGGCGGGGTTACATTTAACGGTTTCGACAGCAAAAGGGTAGGACCGAGGTACCAACTTAGTAGCACGCACGAATTCATGCGGTCGGGGTACCATGGAAAATAGCTCGACAGATCAATTTCCATAATAAGTTTTGTAGAAAGGACAGAGGGATGCCACATGACGACTGTGAGAGAGTGAATGGTGTCGTGATGCCAAGTCAGGACCACTCACATTGGATTTTTCTTTGGATTTTATCGAGAACCTCAATATGAACAGCGGGGGCACCAGACTATATATGGCAACAGATAGATACGAACAAAATAGTTTAGCTAGCTTGAAAGAAAGAAAGAAAGAAAGAAAGAAAGAAAGAAAGAAAGAAAGAAAGAAAGAAAGAAAGAAAGAAATATATTTACATTCGAAGCAAAAAAAACCATTTGAATATGGTGGGTCTGATTGATTCAAGACCAACAGATGTAAAGCTGAGATAGATAGATAGATAGATAGATAGATAGATACTGTAGAGGATGAAATAGATAGATTGATAGAGAGAGAGAGAGAGAGAGAGAGAGAGAGAGAGAGAGAGAGATGAGAGAGAAATTGGCATTTGAAGGTACAAACACTTGAATAGATTAGGACTGATTGATTCATACACTAACGGATATAAAACATGAAGAGAAATAAGCTGTGATAGATAGATAGATAGATAGATAGATAGATAGATAGATAGATAGATAGATAGATAGATAATCTACTTATGAAATGAAAAATATTGAAATAATAATACGAAATAAAAAGTCCTGACTGGAAATGAAGGAGATAGATATAAAATAATTGAGATAGATACGGAGAATATTTCGGTGAATCTTCAATTCTAAGATTCGGAAATGTGTTTTATTTTGTTTTTCTTTGATTTTTGATCTTTTTTAAATAAACAAAACTGATGTAAAATAACAACTGCATTTGTTTGGTTCATTTCCCGTGTTGCTTTCTCTTTTCCATTAAAATCCTTGACGGTTTTTTTTCTTTTTTTCCTTGTGAATAGTTTATTCTTGAACTGAGTGTTTGATTCTTTAACTTTTCTTCATTTTACGATTAAGATATCGCGTCTAAGAGATTCTAAGACATTGATAGAGATTCCGTATTTTTTTTTTTTGTTGGGGCAGAGGACGGTTATATTAACGATATTCCAAAACAGGGATATTAACTGTCTTCGTCTGGTCCGTCTCGATACTCGTTTCCATTTGGTTTGATGTAGACAAATCTGCGTTTTGCATCAAATAAAATGAATGCTCTTGATCGGCCTCTCAGATAGATAGATAGATAGATAGATAGATAGATAGATAATGAACACATTTAGATAGATAGATACATAGATGGATAATAAACATATTGAGATAGTGAACGAACACGTTGAAATAGATAGATAGATAGATAGATAGATAGATAGATAGATAGATAGATAGATAGATAGATAGATAAGGAACACATTGAGATAGATAGTGAATGAACATATTGAAATAGATAGATAGATAGATAGATAGATAGATAGATAATGAACATATTGAGACAGTGGAAGAACTCATTGATATATATATATATATATATATATATATAGATAGATAGATAGATAGATAGAAGGCGGAGATAGATAGATTGTAAATGGAAATGGAGATTGATCATAACCTGAAAACATTAAAATAATCTTGGATATCGCAAATTTTAGGAATGAAGGATTATATATATATTAAACTTTCGAATGTTCTGCGCATGTGTTGCTTCAGCTGTTTTCCGAAATTATGTGTTTAACATAAAAACTAACGCCAAGTCAATTTCCTTTTACTTTTTTTTATTTTCGATACTACCAAGTTGTTGACAGAAATATCAGACAATGAGAAAAAATATATTCGTAGAGATTGATACACTGAATTAAATAAATGTTCCTATCGGAGTAGATCGACATGAAGATAATGTCGTCATTATATATATATATATATATATATATATATATATATATATATATATATATATATATATATATATCGGGTATAACAACAGAATTGTCCAAATCCTGTAACAGCAAAATTGTCTAATTTTTTAGACTACGCTTGAAAACGTTGTATCTTAGAAATAATTAAAGATATCTTACTGGAATTCTCCGAGGATTTTATAACAATATTGCCCTCTACAATATGAATGTATTTAGCTTCAAGCTGAAATGACGATCTCTCCTGCTGTTGTGACCTTCCTGATCCAGTTTTCCTCTCTCTTGCTCCATCTTTTTTAATCTTATTCACAGTTCTCTTGATGGTTCATGAATGGATTTTGAAGATGGAAGCCAGAGTCTGAATATTCGAACCATTACTGAAGGCCTGAATGATCCTTTCCCTTTCAACATTGCCCGTTTAGGAAGATACAGTGGGGGTGACACAAAACGATTTTAACCTGTACTCTTTCTAACTGAATAACTCAAAGGGTTCTGATGTCAAGATGGCTAAGCTTCTCATGTGAAAAAACTAAAACTCGATTAGTTTAGTTTTATTCCTTCTTGTTTTTTTCTGATATTAAACATTTTGTGGAATGGATCTCATGCTGTTACACGATTTGGACAATTTTGCTGTTACACCAGTTATATATACAGTAGCGAGCATAAAGATCAGAACTATGTTAAGAAAAAGTCTAAATGTGAAATAACTTTTTATTCTAAAGCTTCAAAGAACATTTTATGAAGGAAAAATAAGGATATAAAGGTAAATTATATAATTTCAAAATATAAAGCTCAATAAACTTACTTTAATAAAGTTATAAGAATAAATATTTTTACGCCATATAGGTTTCACTTGAGTGAAAGCCGGCATAGATTTTTTTAGACATTTCAACTCAAGAAAGGCGGGAGTGTCAGTGGTACGCAGGTGTTTACATTGTGTGAAGATGCGAGAAAAAAGTGTATAGGGAGGGGGGTGATGAAATGATAAAATATGAAGAGGGTTCAAAATATCAGAAGATGCTGATTGACATTGCATTTAAATTTTTGGAGATTATATTTATGATTGTAGTTATTATGGCAGCAAGTAAACGAAAGGGATTTCCGCAACCGGGAAATGTGAAAAAAGAAGCTGTTGGAGTAGAAGTGTTGGTTAAATTTAACTATTTCAACGGTAAAAGCGTGGGACCTTGATGCTAGTCTAGTAGCACGCTTAAATTTATTTAGTTGGGGTACCAGGGGAAAAAAGCGCGACACAACAGTTTCCATGAAAATATTTGTAGAAAAGACAGAGGGAAGCCACATTAGGTCTGTGAGAAAGTGACTGAAGTTGAGATGCCAAGTTAGGATCGCCTACATTGCATATTCGTCTTTGAATTTTGTCATGAACCTTGAGATGAACAGCTTGGGCACCAGAGCAGATATGGTAACAATATTCAATGCACGGACGAATGGTAGATTTGGAGATGTGTAAGATGGAATCAGACAAGAAAACTCTTCTGGCACAACACAGTGAACCAACTTTCCTTGCAGTAGATGCAGCTGTTGATTCAATGCAGTTTTTCCACTTCAAGTCATTCGAAAGCGTGAGGCCAAGAAGGTGCAATAAACATTCTCCTGGAGTCGAGCATCTACCAAAATGGCTAAATGAGAGCAGTATTGATGGCATTAAAATTTACAAACGATTTCCTACCCCAGTGAATCACTGACTAAAGACCCTATTCGAGAGCAACGGTCAGGTTGACTTTGTCAGAGCTCCCAGGTTTACTATTGAGACAAGAATAAATGATAGTGCCATCTATATAGATGCCTGCTTAGGAGCTGGTGACGTCAGGAAAAACATTGATGAAGATCAGAAAGAGTGTAGGACCCAGGATAGAGCCATGAGGGACCCCGGCATTCATAAAATGAGATCTGTAAGCGAGCCCGTTCAGAATTGCCTTTATTTCATGATTTGATAGGAACGATTAGATTAAATCAAACAGTTGTCCTGTAATACCGTAGCCCTGAAGTTTACGCAGAAGCCCACCATGCTAAATCCTGTCAAACGCCTTCGAGATATCTAGAGCCACAGCTCGAGTTTCGCCGTTCTTATCAAGAGCATTATATATATATATATATATATATTCAGTTATGGCTGTAAGTACATCAGGGGCAGTCATTGTTCGTCAGAGTAAGTCTTGAGAAGTAAGATGCTTAACCACTTTAGCATTGATTAAAGACTCGAAGACTGCCGAAAAAGCGGTAGGAGACTGAAAGGCCGGTAGTTAAAGGGAGTCAGAAGGTTCTCCAGAGTTCTTAAAAACGGGGACGACTGACGAGGACTTCCAACAAGGTGGAAAGCAGGAAGCATCGAGGCAGTAGTTTTGTAGTTTGGAGAGAACAGGAGCCTGTTCAGGAGTACATTTCCTTAGGATAACGGCTGGTATTCCATCACCTCCACTCGCCTTATTAGAATCTAATTTAGAAATGATATCCGAGACCAGCGACGGGTTTATGCACATATCACTCAATAGAGCATCAGTTCTAAGGGGGAAATCAGGTATGGTTTCTCCAGACGAGTCGAGTGTTGAGTTGGATGAGAATCTCGGAGCAAAGCATCCAGTCTTATCTGCTGAGGATGTCAAGACTTCGAATGGGTTGAATAGTACAGGGATTGTGTTGTGGATTCCATGAATGGAATCCTGCACAAATAAATAAACAACGCCAGTAATTGAGATAGAAAAAAGGGTATTAAACGTAAGAATACAGACTTGAAGTGAAGATTAGTAGTCCAGGAATGCGGGTTAGTAGAAAGTATATGTACAAGTCTCTGTAAGTAAAGCCGTAATCATATCTCTCTCTCTCTCTCTCTCTTCTCCCCCCCCCAGGCGAGTCGAGTGTTGAGTTGGATGAGAATCTACGAGCAAAGCATCCAGCCTTATCTGCTGTGAATGTCAGAATAAATGGTAGTGCCATCTACATAGATGCCTGCTTGGGAGCTGTTGACGTCAGGAAAAACATTGATGAAGATCAGAAAGAGTGTAGGACCCAGGATAGAGCCATGAGGGACCCCGGGATTCATAAAAAAAGAACTGTAAGCGAGCCCGTTCAGAATTACCTTTATTTCATGATTTGATAGGAATGATTGGATTAAATTAAACAGTTGTCCTGTAATACCCTAGCCCTTACGTTTACGCCCACCATGCTAAATCCTGTCAAACGCCTTCGAGATATCTAGAGCCACGGCTCGAGTTTCGCCGTTCTTATCAAAAGCATTATATATATATACTCTCTCTCTCTCTCTCTCTCTCTCTCTCTCTCTCTCTCTCTCTCTCTCTACTCTTGTAAAACTCTCTGAGAACACCCGTATCTCTCAACGTAACTCAACGGCAGGTATTCTCTCTGTCAGAATAAGTATACTTTGGACGAGTCCATCTTAAGTAAAAAGGGGAGAGCCCCACAACAGATTGATGATTTTCTGTTGCTCAGTACTCTCTTGCAGAGCCGCCAATAATCTCTTGAATCGAACTTACTAGTTCTATACGTTGATTCATTCTGTCAGCAAAGAGTTATTTGGCTTCATTAAAGACAAGCTTGCGTTCGTTACGAGCAGAGACAAAGAGATGTCTATTGCAATCGGACTTTTCGCATTTGTCCAGTCGGAAGAAGTTATTCCTGTGGGCTATAGCAGCCAAGCAAGCAGGAGAGAACCAGGAAGATGAACGCGGTTTAACTTTCTAAGTTATTTAAAAC